CCCCCCCCCCCGCAACCATAACCAAATCCCCCCGCGGTGGGGGTACAAGCCCCCTCACCCTCCCGGGAGCTGGCAGAGGTTTTTTGGGTGCCCCTTTGCTGCAGTATCACCCAGGCACCCAGCACTTCTGAGCCAGACCCCCTCCTCACCCTGCAGGCAGGGAGCCCACCACCCCAAAACCCAAAAGTCCCCCCTCCCCAGACCCCCCCAGCCCCACGGCAGGGTTGGGAACCACAGAGGGGGGGGGACGGGACCATCAGTCGCCTCCAGCAAACGTACAGTTAAAAGCCTTTTGGGAAAGGGCCGGGCTGGGCTCTGGGTGGTTTTTTCAGTCTCCTCGGGTGTTTTTTTGTGTTTTTTTCAGTCTCCTCGTTTTACTGGTGGCTTTGTTTTACTGGTGGCTTTGTTTTCCGACCGACCCAGGCGTGGAGCCCCACGGCCTCCTCCTCCAGGGCTGCTCTTGGGGCCAGTTGTTTGGTTTGGGAGGGTTTTTTTTTTTTACTATTATTATTATTATTTTGTTTAAAGCGAGCAGCCCGAGGCCGGGAAGCATTATTCATCATTAAGGGCTGGTTGTGTGTGGGGGGGGACAACCCGACACACACATTCTTCCCAGGGCAGAACCAGCCATCAGGCAGGAAATGGCAGCAGGGTGGTTTTTTTTTTCCCCACCCCCCCTCACCCCCCCCTTCTCCTTCAAACACTCCGGCAAGATTTAAACTAACATGGATTTTTCTGGGCAGATTTTTAAGGAGACCCAACAAGCCAAAAACCCGGCAGAAGAAGTTGCCAAGAGAGCAAACAGGGGTTGGTTTTGTTGTTGTTTTGTTGGTTTTTTTCTTTTTCCCAGTGGTTTTTTGGTTGTTTTTTTTTTCCTCCCATGCCATCCCGGGGTGCTCTGCCCGGGGGGCGGGGGGTGCCCAGGCGCCGTGGGGGCCACCCCATCCCCCTGGCACTGCCAGATTTAGCCTGGAGCCAGCGAGCCAGCGAGCTTCAGCCTTTTCCATGGAGACACACGGCCCTCTGTAATTCCCTGACCGCTTATTTTCATACTTTTTCCCCGTGCTGTGTTCCTCTCAATGGCCTCCTTCTCCCCCCAGCCTGGTTTGTGGTGGGGCTGGACCGTTCACCGGAGCAGCCCTAACCACGGGGGAGCCTGGGTGGGGAAGGGAGGGTGGCTTTTGATAGCCCTGCTCGGCCCTGGCATCCTCATCCCTTCTCCAACGTGGGGTCCAGCAGCTCCCCCCCCCAAGCCCCTCTGCTCCCAAAAAGCCACCCATGGACAGGAGACACCTGCCCTGGGGTGACTGCGCCCCGTCACTGTCACCACCACATCTGCTGTGGGGAGAAGGTGGCTCTGTACCCCCCCTTTAATGCTCCCATCTCTTCCATCATCCCCAGCCCTATGGGGGTGGGGAGTCCCCAGCCTGTCCCCCCGACCCCCCCTGGTTTGGGGCTGCTTCGGGGCACCCCAGCACCCCGAGAGATGCCCACCCACACCGTGATGGTGCTACCCGGTGGTGGGGCACAGCATGGCATGGGTTCAATGGGACAGGTCTGGAGAGGGCATTGAGGGGTCTTTAACCAACCTCTATTGCCCCCCCTCCCCCCCCACAATGTCTTACCAGTTGTGGACGGGACAGATGTGGTTGTTGGAAAGCGCCATGGCGTACCTGGGGGAGAGACCATCACAGGGATTATCACCCACAGGGATTACCAGCCACAGGGATTACCACCATCACTCACTTCCCTCCATCCCTGCTCCCCGGCACAGCCCCAGCCATGGGAGGGGGGGTACAAGCCCCCACTGCCTGCCAGGGGCCACCATGTGGCACCTCCTGGCTTCATGAGGCAGGAAAAGAGAAAAGTGAGTGCATGAGCCCAGCCCATGCTATGGGGAGCTCCTGGTGGTGGGGACCAGGTCCCCCTGCCCCGTCCCCCCCATCCCCACCAAAAGCCACCTCCCGCGCCAGTTCACTGTGGGAGCTCCTGTAGGACCTCTTCTTATGGTCGGCCTCCATGATCTCAAAGGTCCCTTCCAACCATGAAGATTAATTGTGTGATTCTTCCCCATCACGCTGCCGTGCTCCTCAGGCTCTGGGGGGGCTGCTCTGCTGCAAAGCCCCCCCCTCCCTCAGCACCAGGGCTCTCCAGCCATGCAGGGTGTCACCCGATGGCCACTGGGCTCTACCAGCCACTGGTTGCCCAGTGCCCAGATCTAAAAGAAGCCTGGAGAAGTGGCGGGTGTGTGGGCAGGGAATTTTGGGGCAGATCAGCTCCATGGAGCGTTTCACTGCAGAGTCACCCCTGCGACCCCATCACCAGAACAAGGGGTGGGGGTCTTAGCCCGGTGGCCACCCCCCAGCCAGCGAGGAGCCCTCTCCCCCCCCAGCAGCCACCTCGCCGTTCAAATCACTGCTGCCAGTGGCCATAAAGAGCTCTGGTTAAAAATAGGCCCCCACACTGGTAAGAAATCCCCCCCCTGCACCCCTCCTGAGGTGGCCACGTAATGGCTGGGCTGGGAAAAGGATGATCCTGGAGAGGTGATGGGACAAAGAGTGGGACACCTTGGTGGGGTGCCCACCTCAAGGGTCACCCACCACCAGCGTGTGTCCCCCCCTCCACAGACCTCTCACCCAGCACCCATCCCAGCTCTCTGTGCCCCCCTGGGAGGGGACAATAAGCCAGGAAGGGGGACAATAAGCCAAGAGAGGGGACAAACAGCACTGCTTTCCCCCAGCAGGATGTGCCCCCCCCCATCCTGGTGCCCCCTCCCAGGCATGGCCCTCCATGGCCCACGTGCTCCCACTGCCCCGGTCTCACCCTGCCACCGCACAGACGAGGGACACACCGTCCCCCCAGGTGGCTGCAGGACGTGTTTGGGGACAAAAAAGGGGTCTGAGACCCCCCCAGCTCCCAGGGCAGCTCTGGTTGTAAGGACCACGAGCAGCACGTCCCACCCACGCTGTTCCAGGCTGGAGGGGGCATCTGCCTCCCCCCCACAGGGTCACCCACAGGTGACAGCCAGGGCTTCGTGGGGCGTCCAGGGGGAACACTTGGAGCAGGAGTTCCCTGCCCTGGGGTCAGCACCGGGCTGTGTTATGACAAAGGATGGGAGATACCACAGGGGAGAAGCTCTCGGAGGAACCCACGTGGTTTGGGGTGCGTTTGCTTCATCCCCCACCCCAGGAAGTCCCACCACCTACACTGGGGGTCCCTGTGCCTTTGGGAGAAGTCCCTCATCCAGTGCCCACCCCCCCTGTGGTGGACCAGGACAGGACAGCCCTGTGTGACCAGCTGAGATCCCAGGGCCAAGGCCCGGGGAAGGGACTGGCCAGGTGGGCTAGTGCCACTCACCCAGGGGACACAGCCTCTGCCCCCAGCACAAGGGACAAACGTCCCCTGGTCTCCTGTCCACCCACCACGTGGGACGGGTGTCTGTGTGCCGGGGGCATCGCTCTCAAGGCCATTCCCATGCCACGCTCACACTTGGAGAGGGGCACAACATCCCAGGAGGTGTGAGGGGTGCATCTCCAGCCCCCTGCCCCACAGCATCCCATAGCATCCTCCAGCCCCCTGCCCCACAGCATCCCACTGCATCCCACCCCACAACATCCCACCCTGCAGCATCCTCCAGCCCCCTGCCCCACAGCATCCCACTGCATCCCACCCCACAACATCCCACCCTGCAG